GAAATATCAATGATGCTGAATCAGTCAGTAAATATAAGTTCCTGTGTCTCTTGCTGGCTCATATTTGTACAAACAAAGAAACCAAACTTACCTGTTCAAACCAGTAGGTGTCCAGCACATTTACACAGGCTCAACATAATGTTTTCATGACTATTTTGAGGGATTGTCAGCCTGTTCAAGCCTCTTAAGTGGTCAGCTTATACTAAGTTTCACCAGGCTAATCAGTGTTGCCCATTTATATTTGGTTAGCACCACTAAAATGAAAAGAATACTTATTTTTTATGTACATCAAGTGCACGTTCTCATGACACAACAGAGCAGGTGTCAGTGACAGCACAAAGGTGGGCTGCAAAGCAGCTAGCAGGTATACAGCAACTGTACAGTCAAGCTGAAGCAGCTTAAATGAAGTTTGGGATTTCCAGCAAAGCTTTGGAAAGGCTCCAGCAAGGCCAGAACTCAGCTGCCAGGCTTCTATCACAAACTGAACTCTGGCAACATATCACCCCCGTCCTCACAGATCTCCACTGGCTCTGGGTCAAGTCATGCATCACTTAGAAGATCTTTATTCTCACTTACAAATCTCTCAGTGGCCCGGCTACTCAGTATCTGCCCGACCTCCTTCACCCAAACACACAACCTCTGTGGCTCACACCAACCTCCACAGCTTTGAGGATGGAGCCTTCAGTGTGGCGGCGCCTACCCTCTCTCCTATCTGTGCTCTGCAACGCTTGTTCACTGGGGGCGTTGCAGAGAGCCCAGCAATGAGTTCTCCTCAAATCTCACCTCTTCAACCTCTAACCTTTTTTTTATTTACTTACTTTTTTGTAAAGCACGCTTGAGTTTCTCGAAAGGTGCTATACAAATCGAAGTTATTATTACATGTCGCAGAGCAGAAGTTAAGAAAATTGATGCATGGATGTGCAGAAGGGTATCAGCTGAGCCATGAGCTGATGTGCGCTGGCGTTAAGATCGGGAAATGTGACAGGGTTTTCACATGTGAGCAAACACCTGCTGCCTACATCACAGATCTCGCAATAAATGCTGCTGTTGATTCTTGTAATTTGTCAAGTGTCAAATTAT